TTGAAATACATGTTTGTTCTCCAGTTGGTATCACTCAGGCCAGGAGAATGAGTTCAGTGTGCCCCTCAGCGATTTCTCAGTAGAAAAAGAACCAGGCCTAGTTAAATTCCCTAGGCAGCCATTTGGGGGAAATTATGCAGTTATATATTTGTCCTAGTTTTTCTAGAATTGGCTCATTTTTATCCTTGGTTTCCAATACTCACTCCTAGTCACATTTTTTCTTTTCTTTTTTTGAGACATCTCACTATGCAGTTCAGGCTGACCTTGAACCCAGTGTGAAGCTCAGGCTGGCCTTGACCATGCTGAGATCCTCCTGCCCCAGCCTCTGAGTGCTGGATGTTGTGCCACCGTGCCCGACTCACAGTGCTTTCATTGTTATTTTTTTTTTTTTGGCTTTTTTTCCGGTACCGGGAATCGAACTCACAACCTTGCGCTTGCCAGGCAGGTGCCACTGAGTTAAACCCCCAGCCCCTCATTGTTACCTTTAATATTTCTTCTCTTGCTTTTCTTTCCCTTTCTCTTTTCTCCTCTTAATTACCTAACTTTCCCTTAGGAAAGAGTAAAACAAATACTTGTTTTGCCTGTGAACTGCCATCCAGCTACCGTTCTTCCTTTTAGGAAATCCACGGGGAACCCTTCATGCGTGTAGAAATCCTGCTTACGCTAGCAGAGCCTGATCAGATCCCAGCGTATTGGAATGCGGGAGTCTTAGTGATGGGCCCCACGGTGGCGCAGAATCTAATTTTCACACTTACCTGCTCTCTTCAGAGGCTGAGGGGATTGGAGGCGCTACTTCTTAATTCCAAAGACGAACAGAGAAAGCAGTCTCTCCCACACAGATCTGGGGCGAGACTGCTTTTGTTAGCACATTACCTCAAGGGCCAGCAGCCAGGCACAGAACACCTCAAGTGTTCCGGGAAGGCGAAGCCTGAATGCTAAGTGGACTCAGCAGGGGGTTTTATTGTGTTGTTGTTTTAATTTGAATCACTTTTTTTTTTTTTTTTACAGCTTTCCGTCTGGTTCTCGGATGTAGAAGTCTTTCTGATAGCGTTGGTCAGGCGCGGTTACTGGGCATCTATTTCCTTTGTAGTAGCAAGAACGAGGCAGGACGTTGTCCGCTGTCCTCTTCTCCACACAATGAGGTCTAGATTTCTTAGGTTATTCAGCTTGCCTTTGCCGGTCTCCAGAATCTCTCCTTCCCTCACCCACCTCTGGCCTGGACCACTCAAGCCACAAGGGCTCCCGTCCTTTCCTCTGACCACTGTCACTGTAAAGCCTCCGGCGGCTAAGCCCAGAGCCCCTGGGGACAGGTGCTGCACGGGGAGGGGCCAGGACAGTCGTTTCCAGGGGTACGCAAGGTAAGAAGTGGGGGAAGGACTTCCGGCTCCTGTGCACGGGGTCGGGCAGGCTCAGGACCAAGCTCAGCGCCGTGCCCGGCGTGGGGCGCAGCCAGGAGGATCTGGCTGCCTCCAGGTCTGGACCGCAGTGCCAGGACAGTGAGGACAGGCTGAGGAGGAGCCAGCGAGCGGAGGTGGCGCACCGCCCCACCTGCCTCGAGACCCAGCAGTGAACGCCGCGGACGACCGCACCCGGGCCTGGGTGTGCGGTGGTGGTGACCGCAGGGACAGGGCCCTCTGTCCCCGCCCAGCAGGACGGAACTGGGTAGTGTAGAAAACACAAACAAAACGAAAGAACGTGCCCATTGGCTTATAACCCCAGTACATATGGCAATGATAATCACTTCCATTCTCTCAAAAACAGCTTTCAAGATGAGTCCAAACTCCAGAGACTATCAAAATTAAGTTAGCTTGAAAATGTTTCTTCAGTAACTCCAGCCCACACATAAGAAGACCGAAGCTCTCAGAGGAAAGAGCGCACGTATCAGAGAAACGTGAACGGGAAGGAACGGCTCTTCCCTCCGGATTTTCTGCCCCTCGGGGCGACGGATCCCGCAGCCTGGGCCTGGGCTTCTGCTCCCAGGCGCGCTGACTGCCCGGCGTCCCCGCCGACGCCGCCTGCCGGCCACTGCTCGGTCCCCGGCTCCTGCCAGCCTGCCCGCTGGCCGTGGCTGCGGATCCCAGGCGCCCCGTCCCGGGCCGGGCTGTGCTTTGTTAAGTTCCAACGGAGGACAAACCCTGCCAGCAGATGCAGGGCCGCCTCAGCCTGGTGCCCGGGAGACCGGGGGAAAGGCGCCTGCGGAGGCCCTGCGGGCGGGAGGCGGGCAGGCGTCTGCGAGGAGCCCAGGACCCTGCAGCTGAGGTCCGTGTCCTGGGCCCTCGGGGGAGGCCCGGGGAGGCCCGTTCTCCGCATGTACCTGACGGTGCATTCTGCGAAAACTGTGGCTGTGACAGCAGGCGCCCAGGGCGGTGCTCGTCCCCGTGCTGACAGTCTCCCAGGGGAAGCAGCGCAGAGGGAGGCACCCAGGACCCCGGCGAGGAGCACCCGGCAGGGGGCCGGGGTCACAGCCGACCCTGCACCTCGAGGGCCCGCCAAAGGACTTGGTTCACCAGAAGCCGTCTGCCTTCAGCACCATCCACCTCAGTCGCCGCCTCAACCTTGTGACGGCCCCGTGAAGCGGGGACGATAACGACACCACCATAGGCTGTTGTGAGATAAAGTGCTCGGGACAGGACCCGGCCCGCGATGCCCCGTGGAGTCGTCTGCTGTCTTCACGGTGCTGGAGCCCGGTGGGCCCGGTGTGGGTTCCGGGAGTTTGGCTGCTTCCTGGAGTGACTCAGACAAGCACCGTCATGGGCCTAGTTTCCACGTGCAGGCTGCTGAGAGGACTGAGTTCAAGCACCAGGAGCAGAGGGGACAGCTTTCAGCGCATGCGCAGTGTTAGCTGAGGCTCCCGTCCTTTGCCCTCGCGAGCCGCCTGCACGTGGCCTGTCCCTGAGCGAGGACCAGGTGCCCAGGGAAGGGACTCAGACACCAAGGCCGCGGGCCTGTGCTCGAGTCCTCTGCCGAGTCTCCCTGCCCAGCGCCCCTTACACACTCAACTTTCCCACACTACAGACTGTGGGGTTGGTGGGGACAGTTCTCCCTCGGCCCCTCTCTGCCCTGGAAAGCCGGGAATCAGCGCTACTTAAGCTCCAGTCTGTTCCGTGAGTCCCGTCTCCCACCAAGTGGAGACCGCTCACTTGGGGCCAAGCTGCCAGGGTCTTTTCTAGGTCTAAAAGTCACTACTGAAAACAGTGTTTTCAACTTGAAAGACATCAAAGAACTACTTTGAATCTTAAGATTTTAGCAAATTCAGGATTATTTGTAATTTAATTTTAATGAATAAAGCGTTTGTGTATAGCTATCTTTGAAAAAAAAAAAAATCCAGCTGACCCTGTTATACAGAAGAAGGAAGTCTTTGTTGCAAAGAAGAAAAGGTAGTAGCCTTTCTCCTCCAGAGGAGTTTATTTTTAGGATGTATACCAGCACCCCCTTCTGGTGCATAGGACCTGTGTTATCCTAAAATAAATCAATACTTAGGGATTAGAACACTTTCTCTTATCATTTCTTTTCTAAACTGTCTCTTGGGGGAAAATGCTTTGGCATACTTTTAGTGGATTTTTTTGTTTAGTTTTGTTTTTTGTTTGTTTGGGTTTTTTTTCTTCAATAAACTTGACCAAGGGCACAGGTAGCAGAATTGATAAAACGCAAGCCGGAATCTTTGGTTTGATTGCAACACCACCTAGTGTCCATTTGGGGAATTCTTACACATCACTGTTAAGACTGCATTCCTGAAAGCAAACTAATTCACCACAGGTAAGTCAGACCTTGATATGCACATGAAATATTGATGGAAAACTCCATCCTAGTACTCATGGTTTTGTACTCAGCATGCGAATTAGAACCTATGGTTGTCGCCTGGTAACTCACCACCTTTTTCAGCCAAAACAGTTTGCTTGGTTCTCATTTCTCCTGGAACCAAGTAGAAACCAGTACCAAGGTTGCACTGCATAGACGGTTAGGTCAAGTTTGAGTCAAAATCCCAACATCGAGTTCGCATGTACTGAATGACGGGCCTGTGGTTTTTCTTTTTTCTTCTATTGCTCTCTACAATTTTAGGATAGCAAAGAAAGGAAAGATTTAAAAGCAAATCCTGCCCACTATGGGAAAGCCAATGTGCATGAAAGTTCATTACGAAACAGGAATGCTTGAATATTTAGGGTCTAAAGTACTGTGAGGGGATTTTGCAGGGCTGCCAAAGCCAAGCCTAAGATTCTAGGGTGTGATGAGACGATCCGTGTTCAGCTCCTGCTCTTCAGAGCGGCTCCCCAAGGCCTCTGCGGCTCCCCATTCCTGCAGAAGCTTGCCTGCCACCCGTCCTGCTGGGCGGTGCAAACTGACTTCAAAGGCGCTCAGAGTCGGCTCCTGCCAGCTAACGCTTGTGTGCTCTGTGCTATAGTTTGGTCCTGAGTGTCGCCAGAAGGCCCATGTGTTCAAGGCCCGTGTGCACCACCGGGCAGTGACAAACCCTCGGGACACGGGGCATAGAAGCAGGAAGTCATTCCTTCGGGTGTTTCCTTGAGGGGGACCCTGAGACTCCAGGCTCTTCCTTTCTGCTCTGAGGTGAGTGGCTCTGTCCCATCACGCACTGCCCACCATGACGTCCCACCTGCCAGAGGACCAAACTACGGTGGCCAGGTGACCATGAACTGAACCCTTGAGGCTGTGAACCAGGACAAACCCTTGCTCCTCTTAAGCAATCCTCTCGGGTACTGTGCGTCAGGGAAGGCCAACTCGCACACTCCCCGAATGCCAGGGTGCCTTTCTTCCAACCACGGGCGACCCCAGGCCTCTCGGGAGAAGCAGCGAGTGCGGTGTGGCGCTCACTTCCCTTTCCGTCCATGCTTTCTCCTGTACTGCGTCTGGGTTCTCCCACAGCACTTTGGGTGGCTCTCCAGCTTCCCATTCCTTCAGGGTCCCGAAAATTCAGCACAGGTTAAATCACTGTGTTTGCCACATACAGTTTTCTCTGGATTAAATGAAAGAAGAAACGAATGAGAGATGCCAAACGAAGAAGTAAAGTTTCTCTGGTGTCAGCGCCCTGATTCCACACCCCTCAGTGGCTCGTGTGCTGTTCTCCCATATACACGGAGTTGAAGCTTGAAAACTGCTTGTCAACTTTTTAGGAAGCTTGAATGAAGTTCAAGCAAGTGTGATGAGCCCCTTGGATAAGGTGGTGAGGTCACAGGGGCCCCGGGAGCGCCGCCCTGGACCCTTGGGTGTATCTCAGGAGACCCCCTGCATCTGTTGTCTTCCTCTGCAAAATGAGAAACATGAACAACTATTTTGTACGATTATCTTTATAAAGTTTTGAAAGGATCTACAAAGTGCTTGGTAATCACCAATCATTCCAAGTGGAAGTATACTAATTTTTACTGATATCTGCTCAGTAAGGAATCCATTGTATGATTTTAAGGGGCAGTAACAACACTTACTTCAACCCTTCTGGGCAATGTTTCTGTCTTAAGTAACTGCAGATCTTTCATGTTGAGAGTTGTCCTCAGTAACTGAAATAAAGGAACTCACTGATTAACCAGCCCCATTCTTCCCTAGGGAAATGCCCCTAATGGAAAGAGAGTAAAAGAAAAGAAAGAAAGTCTGGTAAGATGAATAATATGAAAAAAATCAGTGGACCCAGGATACTCTCCCTTTATGGTGTGGTAAATAAAACTACTAATAGCGTTGGCTGTGTGTCAAGCACTGTCCTCTGCAGTTCGCCAGTACCCGTTGTATCGCTCCGTTCTCCACTGTTACACGCCGAGGACTCTGGAACCCAGCGAACCTGAGTCACCAGGGCAAACGGCAGAGCTTTGAAACTGGGAGGCTGCGCAGACCAGAGCTTGTGGAGAAGCCTGTGTGCCCCGGCCCGCCCTGCCCTGCCATTTTTCCCTTCTTCTTGTCTCCTCCCTCCCCTCCCCTCCCCTCCTTTCTCTCCATCTCCTCCTCTGCCCGGGATGCCCAAACCACCTCAGCCAGCAGAACGGCAGCCAATGCCTCGTTTCCTTGTGCAAGTAGGACACCCACCCCCACGGGCACACGGTCTAGTAGGGTTTTGACCCTTTCCCCCAGGGTCTCTTCCTCTGCACAGAGCTAAGTTTCCTGACGGCTGCTTTACAGCTTTGGTCTGCTTTTAGCCCAGCTACCTGGCAACATTAAAGATGACTTTCTAGCTAGTGAGTAAACCAGGCAGCAAACGGCGTAGAGACCTCTTTCGGGAGCCCCGACAGGGCAGCTTTGTTGAAAGCATCCACTTGCTGTAATACAGTACCCGAGGATCCCCCAAACAGCTTGACTTAATAATATAAAAGCTGATGGGTGAATTCAGTTTTGTCTTGAAACTGCTATGATCTCTCATTCCCCATTGTCTTGGGAGGGACCCTTTTTGGGGCAAATGTTCCCGTATAATACAAAGTAGGTGTGATGGGGCACTTTGTGTACATTGTGATGAGTGTGAGACTTAGAATACAGAGCCCTCAGCACGTTCACCGCTACTAGTAATAACCAGGAAGGACGCAGCTCATTTCAGTCTTCTGTGTGAGAGAAAAACGCCACATGGTACTACGAGCCAAGAATGACGTTACTTTTGCCTTTTCCAGGGTGTTGTGGTGATACACTGTGTCAACTTGGGGAGTCTACAGGCCTGGCTGAGTGACTCAGCAGTTCTACATCCTGGGGTGAAAAGGACATGCCCTTCCTGCGCTAGGATGTTGTTCATTGTGTCAATGAGCGCATTTAGAAGGTTAACTAAGTGACTCAGCAGGGAGCCAGGGTGCTTACTGTGTATTCATCCTGCGCCTGTGCAAGAGGAGGGCCTGGAGATTATGTGAGTGCTGCATGTCCCTTGGGTGGGGTAGCCTGCTTTATAAGGAAGGGAAAGAGGCTTGCTTGCTCTGCCACCTGCTCCTCTCTTGTGCTCTCTTGTTGCTTGCTGTTTTCTGCTGCCATGAACCATTACCCCCCGCCATGTGCTGCTCTGCCTCGGAGCCAGCCTAGTATGGACTGAAATCTCCACAGACTACGAGCTAAATGAACCTTTCCTTCCTTCATTTTGGGCTTTGGGTATTTTGTCTCAGCAAGGAAAGAAAAGTAACCAAGACACATGGGAAAAGTTACTTATTTAAAAACTGATTTAAAATTCTGTTTTGTTGCTTTAATTAAACAGTAATGAGAATACTCATCATGAAAGGTAGTAATTCTTATCACCCGTCAGCATTCACTACCTTACTGAATTGCCATTACTGTGGTAATTACTATGGAGGTCTGTTCCCAACAGGGACTTCCCCCAGGGCCAGGGATGGCGGACTGTGAAATCCCAGAGGAAGGCGGAAAACAGCCACATGAATGCCCCTTGTCTTGGTTGCTTTTCTCTCGCTGCTGAGACAAAATACCCAATGTCCAGAATGAAGGAAGGAAAGGTTTCTTTAGCTCACAGTTTGTTTCAGTCCATACTCAGCTGGCTCCAAAGCAGAGGGGCACATGGCAGAGGGCAACGGTTCACGGCAGCGGCAAACAGCAAGAGCAACAAAAGCAAAAAGGGAGGAGCAGCAAGAGCAAGCCTCTTTCCCTCCCTTACATTGTATGCAGGCTGCCCGCCCCAGGGTGGGTGCAGCACTCACACCCACAATCCCAGCATTGGACCATGAACTAATCACAAACTCTAGAATCCTGCACCCAGGGGACTGCATGAGGCTTTGGGGGGACATCTAGACACAAGCCATAACACCCCTCTTACTGGAGAATAACACCAAAACCCTTGGGGAGGACCATGACAGCCAAGGTAGTAATAGTATCTACTCAGTAATTCTTCATTCCCAGGCAGGACTCAGGTGCTATGGATATACTCTCATTCGCTATTTTCACTCACCCTGTACAGTGAATTCGGTTACTAATACCACTCCACAAAGCATAAACTGAGGCTTTGGAGACACAGTGTATAAACTGCCCAACACCTCACAGCCGGCGAGCTAGAATAAAACCCCAAACTCTGAACCCCCAGTCTATGTGCTCGGAGTTCATTCCAGAGTTTCTGATGCAGCACCACTGGTGCACAGGTAAGTTCCGCACCTGCATGGGAACAGGTACCGCCGCATCCCGCCTGCCCCTTCCACACAGCAGCGCCTGCTCCTAGTGGTAGCGGCTGAAACTTTGCCGAACACTCTGCAGGGGCAGAAGCTCCCCTGCCCAGCTGAAAAGCGGAGCTCTGCTCTTGCTGGTCTTCATGCTGACTGTTCCATCTCTCGGAGCAGCCTGCAGAAATGGGCTCCAGTGGCCAGAACACACCTTGTTGAGTATTAATTCTACACCAAAATACTTCTGGTTGTTTCATACAGAAAAATGTGTATTTGAGAACTTAATCAAGTTCTTTGAGATCCATCCCTCTGGGATACTTGAGATAGAAGAAGAGGCTTCCTTTAGAATGTGCCACCATTTTTTCACCTGGTACTCATCAGAAGACAAAATGATTTGTATCAGCAAACAATTTCTTTAATGAAAAAGTTTCTTTGGTTAATGTATACAGATGTGGCCTAAGCCAACTATCAAATAAAAATAGCAACCTGCGTGTGTCTGAGGTGAAAATAATTATTCAATTTTTAAAAATTCAGAATTCTAGTATTTTCCTAAAATTTCTAATAAACCTAAACTTGCTAAAGCTTTGGTTCTGTTTTTGTTCCTTTTAACATATATTCTTATATGCTGCTGCTGCCGCTGCTGGCCATATATTCTTAAATATATGTTAAAATAATGTATTTTTTTTCCTTGGGCCTACATTATTATTGACCAAATTCTTAAGTGCTTACTGCTATGTTAGCTACTCTAGGAAAGATATAAAAATTAAGGTCTGTACTTCTGAGAAAATTACTTTAGAAACAATTCATACATACACAAAGAATAAGAAAAGACAGTGTGAAGCAATTAAAAAATTGTTTTGTATAATACACATTAAAATAAGATATAAACACACACACCAAAGAACTTAAGGAAGATAGTGAAATTCATTTAATAGGCATGTTCTATATAAAGAGTTTGTCACAAATGTTACATTCCAAGGGTCTACATGAAAAATCACAGTATACACAGATTAGAAGCAAAATATACCAAAGACATCCTAGAGATGTAAACTTTTACAGTATTTTCAAATTTTTTTAAAGTTTGAAAAAAAAAATCCATATCAATATTGATTAAAAATAAATACACTGTATCCACGTAATTTTGAGTGTTCTATTATTCCTTTTCATCAAAAATATATTGCCTACAAATTCTACAGAGTTTTAAATGAATTATACTCACCAAGAAAAGCTTTTCCCATCACCATTTAAAAAAAGAATTAAATACACAGCTGGCTAAATAAATTCAAAAGAGAAGAGCAGGTTTTGGGGGGCTTACAGACAATACTATGTATTTAAGTTAACCTACATTCTTAACTTTTTTCTTGGGTGCACTTTGGACGTAACTTGCCTCTTCATAGCCTACATCAGACATCTTGGATGCAGTCCAAGGGAAGAGCATCACAAGGAAATCGTGTGACACGTCCAAGTTACCACGGTTACCACCGTGCCACACATCGTAGGAAACACAGCCACTGAGTCCTTCCCTGTGCATCAGTGCACACTGTTGGTAAGTGAGGAGCCTTCACTTTTCCTCTTCCTTGGGGTTTTCCAGCTGGTCTTGTGCTGTTTCTTCATTCTTCTGTTGTGCATCTGGAAAATAAAAACAACCTTCCATCCATCTGCACAGAATTTTTCTATCATTCACCCTAGTCACTTTTTACTGGAGGAGAAGGTACTTTGCCCTCAGTGAAGGTGTACGCAGACATGACTAGGTTTGGGGATCTGTACTGTCTAATCACACCCTCTCCTCTCCTCAGTAAGCACCAGCAGTCCTCGCAGGTGTGAGCACAGTGAGCTGACACACAGCGGTTCAGTGGCCTGCCCAGCGTCGCACAGCTGAGTGACAGAGCTACGTCCGTCCGGGCTAACTCGGTCCACAGGCCACAGGCTCTACGGTCTCTCCATGCCGGATCGTGTTCTTCTACATTCTTCACACTCCCTAAACTTCTGCTGTTCGGAGGTGATCTCCCTTCCTACCTCACGGGGAAAGCAAAAGCAAAGCCCTGAGACAGGAGCCACCCAGCTCAGCGCCTCTCGGTGTGATGTGGGCTGCTTTGCTCTGTCCTCACTGGCTACGTGACTTGTTGGCACTCAGCAAAAATGAAAATGCAGCAGCCTTGTTCGTCAGTTAGAAAAGGTGTCAGGATAGCGCGCGATCACTCAAACAAGCGCAGGGCTGCTCAGAGCACACAGCCCGTCACACACCCCTGGCGCCGGCCCAGGCGCTGCTGCTGCTGCTGCTGCAGCCCAGGTCTGCCGCCTCCAGATCCCAGCCCTGCCCGTGTGGCCTCACAGGGAGCCGCCTCCTTCACCCCTCTCCATTTCCTCTGGGCTTGCTTCAGCTCCTTGGGTCACTGTTTTCAAAGTAACAACGTCTCCTCATCATATCTCCTCTATGTCTCTTGAAATGTATGGTTTTTTTGTTTTTTTTTTTTTTGCTGTCTCCATTTAAAAATAAAACTAAGTTTCTACTACTCCCCTCTAGTGGCTCCTACCAAACCCCAGGGGCATCTTTGGAGATCAATCTGGTGGACTCTGTTCGGGTCTCCTGCTCACCTTGTCTGCGTATTTACTCAGCACAAACTGTGAATCAAGTCGTGCAAGAAACACACATCCTTGCTCTCAGGGACCTTCACCCAGGTAAGGGATATGGAAAATACATGAAGGATCAGCTTTGAGAAAGGTAAGAAGTGAAAAGTGCTAGTGTGGATGGAAAATAAGAACAGTCAAGAAGTCGTTAGGGATGGATTCTGAAAGCAGAGCCGCAGAGAGGATGTGAGCTCTGAATCCCTCAGCGGGAGCCCCGCACACTCAGAGGAGCAGGGAGCACGGCCCAGGGCTGCTGTGGGCCGGGGCTTCGACCCCCTCGCCCCAGGGACCTTGTCTCTTTCCGACTGCATTCCCTCTTCATGAGGCGAGCCCTGCAGGGCTGAGCCTCAGGGCAGCTGTGGGTCCTGCAGGGTCGCACCACCAGTCTGTGAAGCGCCCTGACCTGCAGCCCTCAGAGCAGACGGCTCCAGGTATGTGCCCAGGAGCCTGAGCAATTTGGCCCAGAGAGATCTAATGAGAGCTGCACCTCCAAACCCTGCCACAGCACCCTGTTTTAGCTCTGAGGCATTGCACATCACTGTTACCTTATGTATTTATTTCGACTCCTGGCATGCAGCATGCACAAAAATGGATAATGGGTCCAGTAGCAGCGGTAGAAGTAAGGATCATCACTTTGCGGCTTTTCTAGTTTTCTGCACACCAGCCCCTGTCACCTGCATGTAAGGGGTCTCTGTCCCTCCGATTAGGGTTATCCAGGTGGAAGGAATGGATTAAGAGAGATCATGAAATTTTAGGTTAATTTTATACAAGGTGAAAGACATTTGAGATCCTAGATTTCTTCTACACCTCAGCATACTGATTCGAAAAACTAGCAAACCAATAAAAATAAAAACAAAAGAGAACAGGCCCGAAACAAACCTGCAGGTGTTTCCTAGAATCTGTACTTTTAAATGACTAACATCAGAGATGGTCCCCAGCTTTCCGTTTGCACTAACCGTTGGAAACTCTCTGTTTTAAAGTCCTTAATATTTTTGCTTAGCTAATGAGAGAGAAGGTAGGCAAGAAAAGTGCTTACTTGCTAATAAAGCATTGTGTCTGCCACACAGCTAGGCAAGCCTGTGGCCTTTTATTTATTCTTCAGCAACTGTGGTGACATTTGGATCTGTCTTTAACACTTCTGAGTTTTTTAGTTGATATCTGTGACTTTATTTCAAAATGATTTAAAGAAAAATACAAAGACAGAGTAGTATCCATCCAGATAACGCACTCTCTAGTGGCTGAAGAAAACTGGGGAACACTGTCAGCTCTCACGTGCGTTGGGCTCCACTTTGCTTACCTAAGCGATGTCAGTAAACACTGAGGTCTCCTGTGTGTCTAAGTTACACAGACTTTAACTGGGCTTCTTATATAAACAAGCAATTACCTTCTCCACCTAATTCAGTATGGTCCCTCATGAGCAGCAACTTTTCTGAGTCACAGTATTTTTTCAAACTTAAAAGGTCAATATTTTTCATGGCTTGTCCTCCCCTTATCTCTTCCATGTTTTCTTTTTTTCTTATAGTGTTTTATTGTGTGCTCTTTTCTCTCACTGATAGCGTCCCATATGAGGACAGCGGCCTTTGGAAAAGGTGAATAACCATGGGGACACTCTGGGATGGTGTGCAGCAAGGACCCACGTAGATCACAGAAACCGAAACCTGGGACATCTGCGACCTTAGCAAGCAGAAAGTAAAGTCCTGGGGTCCAGAACCAAAACCCCTCTCCGGTCCGCCCATGAATAGCACCTATGAGCAGCAGCAGCTAGCCTGATTTTCCTCATCATCCCTGGGAATAGCACACACATCCCTCCACACACACACACACACACACACGCACAGGTACACCCTCCTCTCTAACCTGGGAACAGGGTACAGGTGTTCCTATGCAGCCTTAGAAGTGAAATCTCCTTGAATCTCTATGCATGTTTCTAAGTGAAGGGATGCATTGAACACCGTATCAAAAGCATCCTTACACTGTTCTTCAGACAAAACTCAGGAAGCCATATGACCTGTGTGTAAGCAAGGAGGGAAAGACCCAGGGTTTTCCTCTTTGATCTGTTTCTTCTTTTTCTTCGGGTGCTGGGAATCGAACTCAGGACCTTGTGCTTGCCAGGCAGGTGCTGTGCCGCTGAGCTAAATCCCCAGCCCTTTCCTCTTTGATCTGAAAGCGCTCTTTTTCTGAACTCAACTTTTTCCACTGGCTAAAAACTAATTACCTTTTACCTGAAGATTCACTCCAAATGTCACCTCCCTTCCATTGACTATAACCCCTCCCTGACAGCAGAGGTGGAAGGCCTTGCGCATACCGGGGTGAGCCAGCGTTTCTCCATCAGTCTCGGAGGCTCAGTGAGGAAAGGACCACTTTTGTTCACCTTTGTATTCTGCCAGCCCTCGAGTGCACCCAGCCAGAAAATGGTGCGCAGCTTCCACACGCACACCGCGCCAGGGAAGACGAGGCTGTCCCGCTCGGAAAGATGGGACATCCACTCAGCCTCAAGCAGAACTTGAGAAGTTTTAGTACAACAGAAAAAAAGAGTACTCTTTCCAGGTTGGAGGAGACTGCTCCACACCGAAAGCGTCCAGTGAGAGGCCCGGGTTTGAGGAGGAGGAGCGGCCTCACCTTCCTTCACCGACAGGCTCTGCAGCTGCAGGGGCAGCTCCAAGGCCCCGCCGGGGGCAGCGGAGCTCCGGATGTCCGGCAGGGCGTTGCGGCGGCCTGTCCTCGACGAGGAGGTGAAACTGCTGCCCACGGCCTCCACGTCAGTCATCGTGGACGAGCGAGCTTTCATAGCAGCATCTAGGGGCAGAGGCAGGAGGGAGGTTGAGCTCTCGGGAGGTGAGTGCCCGGCAGAGACGCGCGGGGGTGCCGCTGCGCGAGAAGCGCGGGCGTGTGCGTGCGCAGCGCACCCTTGGGGGCCAGCACCGCCCCGGGGCGCCCCCTGCCCACCCGCTGGGCGGAGCGGATGCCTCGGTGCCAGCCTGGCCGCCAGCCCTGGATGCTGTCTTGCGCAGTGGGCCCCTGACCTTACTTCTGCTTTCTGGAGGACTGATCAGCCAAACCAGGGCCTGGCAGGAAATGAAAATGGGTTGGTTTGGCCCCTCCCAGAGACAGCGCTTGCGGGTCCTGCGCACTTGGCAGAAACCCAACCGCAGCACGCGTGGGACCTAAACAAAACTGCGCTCTGCCCCTCCAGAAGGACGAAATTCAGCTCTATCTCGGCGGCTTTTCTCTCCCCCTAGAGTGGTGTATTACAATCTGCCCTGGTCTCAGAGCCGATTTTCCTAGACTCCCAGGGGAGTCAGGATTTATTTGAGCTTTTCTACCCTTGCAGTGGATACCGTTGCCCCACACTAATACTTATAATACCAAAACGGGGCCGCTTCAGAAGCTCATGTGAACTGCTGTGAATAACTGCAGCACCCACGTTACCCTCAAGTGTACATGCGAGCATGTGTATGCGTGCATGTGTGTGTGTGTGTGTGTGTGTGTGTGTGTGTGCGCCCCCGTGCGTGGCAGTCACCTTTAACTGACCATCACTTTTCTCTCTAGAAAAGTTTACCTCGTATATACTCTCTATAAGATTACGGAGAATTAGTTTGCTATAAAGATTCTTAACTCCTGTTGTTTTCCAAAAAGACTGATCGTGCAGCACCCTTATCGTCCCAGCACTCAAGAGGCTGAGGCAGGAGGATTGCGAAGACTGTGAGGCCAGACTGGACTGTACAATGAGTTCAAAGCAGTTTGTGATGTATGGTGAGGCCGTGTCAGACCAATCAATTCATCAATCAATCAGTCTGAAAGGTCATAGAGTACAACCTTCCTGATTCTGAGGCTTACTTCAGGATCCATCAAAACATGGCCAGTTTGCCTGGAAGTCTTTCCTGTGAGTAGGGGGTCTCTCTCTCTCTCTGTCTCTCTCCCTTTCTCTCTCTCTCAACACTGTTATTCTTCGTGCCCCTTTCTGTGCTATGAGAGAACAACTAACCTCAATAATAAAGAGATTGCCCGGCGTGGTGGTGCACGCCGGTAATCCCAGCACTCGGGAGGCTGAGGCCGGTGGATCATTGCAAGTTTGAGACCAGCATGGGCTACAAAGTGAGCTCAAGGCCGGCCTAAACTGCATAGCAAGATCCTGTCTCAAAAAGACAAAAAAAAAAGGGCCAGGTGTGGTGGCGCACTCGGGAGGCTAAGGCAGGAGGATCGCTAGGAGTTCGAGGCCAGCCTGGGCTACAAAGTGAGCTCAAGGTCAGCCTGAACTGCATAACGCAACCCTGTCTCAAAAAGACAAAAAAAAAATTTAAAAAAAATAAAAAAATAAAGTGAACTCACTGCACGTCAAAATGTTTTCCTAAGAATTAAACAGCTCTCCTCCTACTACATCAGTTTTTGCCTGCTTTCTCCAGTGCCAGGAATGGAGCCCTAGGCCGTGTGCACGTGTCACGTTGCCTGAGTGTGTGTGTGCCCGCGTGTGTCCGCGTGTATCTGTGTGCGCACCTGTTCGTGCGCGTGCGTGCTGCGCAGAGTCGCACCCAGAACACGGAGCGCTGCTTCCGGCTCCCCTTGGGCGGCGGACCCCCACCTCTTACCCCCTCTGGGGTGACCCCGGCCCCGGGCCCTGCCGGGACGCCTCGTGCTCGCCCGTGGGGACAGGCGGCCCCGCACCCCGCGCAGCTGGGGCCGGGACCTCGGGAGCACCGGCGCCCTCGGGCC